ATTTTAGCTTATCTACCTTGAAATACTTATTATTTCAAATTTATCCTGCTTGCACCGTTATATTCTACCATGTTGTTATTTACACTCTCGCTTTAGGACCTTGCAAATATTATAAATACTTTTTCACTTTTTTTGGTACTTTATTTTTGTACCCTTATTGCATGCTTAAGTATTTCTTGTTTGATTGTTCTTTGATTTTTTTTAGCAAGTCAAATCGGTTCTTCTCACCCTAAGCATTTCATTGTACTGTTAACCTTGTGTTAACCTTGTGTCAACCTTGTGATAACCTTGTGTTAACCTTGTGTCAACCTTGTGTCAACCTTGTGTTAACCTTGTGTTAACCTTGTGTCAACCTTGTGTTAACCTTGTGTTAACCTTGTGTCAACCTTGTGTCAACCTTGTGTCAACCTTGTGTTAACCTTGTGTTAACCTTGTGTCAACCTTGTGTTAACCTTGTGTCAACCTTGTGATAACCTTGTGTTAACCTTGTGTTAACCTTGTGTTAACCTTGTGTCAACCTTGTGTCAACCTTGTGTCAACCTTGTGTTAACCTTGTGATAACCTTGTGTCAACCTTGTATCAACCTTGTGTTAACCTTGTGTTAACCTTGTGTTAACCTTGTGTCAACCTTGTGTCAACCTTGTGTTAACCTTGCATATGACAAATAAACCCAACTTGGACTTGAACTCACATGAAAGAGTTGACCCATCCACCACAAGTGACACAGTATAATTTGCACATTGGTAAGAAACATCGCGTTAAGAAAAATGTTTATTGTAAATTTAGAGTATAGACATAAAATAAATGCAAACAAGTGAGCAATAAAATGTTTGCTAAAAAATAAAACTAAAATACCAAGTAAAGCAATAAAATGACAATTTCTAACACCCACACATTTAAGTTTTAGAGCTTGTGTAAGTGGCAAAAAGCAATAACTTCCAAAAATATTTAAAAAAAAGCATTTTCCTAAAACTCTAAAGTTTCCTTCATGTTGCAACTCTGACATTCAGTTGTTTGTAAAGGCCTTTTGCTGCAGCTGTGAGGAGAGGGGCTGTGACAGCTGGATGAGGGTGAGATGTGAGTACGAGATCAGCCCTGACACTGCTCGTATCTGAAAACAGAGAACAAAGACAAACTCGCTCAGAAAAAGAGGAAATCTCACGTCCCCCAATCTTTTTTATTCTTCCTTAAACACAAACACAGGCGGCCCACGCAACAACAACACACAGGCGAAGGAGCGCTGGTTGTCAGCGCATGGCGTGATATTTTGCCACAGTGTCAGAATGATGTTCAGGCCAACGTGATTGGTGAGTGTGAGAAGGATGTGATAAGTGACAGTGTAAGCACACAAACACAGCTTCACACACAAAAGGTGATGCAAGACTTTCTCCTCTTACCGCTCCAGTTCCTTGTAGACATCATTCTCTCCTCTTGGCTTCAAATCCTGACATAAAAAAAGAAAATAGGCAAGGGAGACTGAGTGATTGAGAAAAGATTAGGTTGGGCAATACAAAGGAGAAACTTAGGTCCTGAGGTTGAATTTATGTCCCTCTGGTGTGTAATGAGATTGATATGTTAATACCACTAATGTGAGGGTGGCTGCTGATAGGGAAGGACTGTAAGTGAGAAGGAAGACGTATCGTGACAGCTCAAGGAAGATACGAGAAAGAGAGATGTGGGTGCATTTAACACAGCTCCTCACACAAATACATATACGCAATAACTCACCATGTAGACTGAACCCTGGGGAGGAGCCTGCTGGGAAGGAGGAGAGTACAGAAAACAAGTTTAATGAACAACAAGTGACAAGAAAGGAAAAAAAACATGAACAGAAGATAAAAAGCAAAACATAAAACATGTGGTGAGCAAATATAGGAGCAAAGAAGAGTGCTAAATCCCAATGGGAAGAGGCTAGAGGAGATAAAAAAGAGAATTCATCAGAGCACATTAAAGGGATAGTTCAAATCTTTTGAAGTGGAGTTCTGTAGGCAGGTTTTCAATAATTAACATCTTACCTGCTGAAGATAACTTTTTGAACAGCCTCAGTTTAGAAAAAGTTTCACCTGTGTTGTGTCGAACTGTGTTTTTACTTTTGACAGCTGTTTTTCGACCAGCTTTGCTCCAATTTCATCTTAACTTTTATCGTTTTAAGCAATGTTTCATGAAAAATGTTGTCAAAAAGATCTTGGTTTCTCTTTTGCTGGTTGTCTATTATAGGGGATGCGCACATCTCAGGACAACACCAGATTGGCGCACTAGTGGCTAACCTGGAGGAAACAAATATCCTCCGCCACATTTCATGCTAGAGTTGTAAACTTAAATAATTTTGTGATGACAAAGGACACTTTGATCAAATCTTGTAAATATTAACGCTCTGAGAAAGTGTTGAGGATGACTCTCAGCTACAAACAGCTAAGTTTAGTGTAATATCTGTAAAATTACACGAGTTCAAGCCATTTTTGTCTTGGCTAAGATTTCTTAGCTGTGACGACCATTTTGAATGGGGATGACTACAAAAGCTTTCCAGTTATAGATGTAAATTACATTCTGGGAATAACTGGTTCATGAGATGGTTTGCTAACGCTACAATCAACCTTCAGTGCCCTCAGTGACTGGTAATAATGACTCAGTATAACTTTTTTGAGATTGTAGTCATTTTTAAACATCAATCTATCTAATCTTTGACTAACCATTAGTTTTCCTCTTTGCAACTAATAGTTCAAAGTGACATGCACAACAGGTAGGATGTTAATTGTTCATAACTGTTCCAGTGAACCCCCTTTATTTAGATCTGAACTATTGCTTTAAGTTATTAAAAATGTCTGAGTTTATCACCTGTCTGAGATCTTCAGGATTCTCATAGAGGTTCTCAGTTTCACCTGAACGGACGGACAGTGACTGCTCAACACCTGAGTACAGAAAGAGAGTCACAGAGAAATACACACACACAAACACACATCTGCAGATGTAGGAAGTAGGGGCAGATTCATTACAACAACCCCAGAGGATGTCATGGCCCACATCACTCAGTGGCAGCCGAAAGGGGCTGAAGACGGACGGAACACGGAAAGCTGTCAAAAAATAAATTGCCGAAAGACTCACCGCGATCAGAAATGTGTTTCTGTCTCCATAGCAACACACCGACAGCTGCAGCAACCAGGGGCACCAGGAGTAATAAAGCAGAGAGAGAAGGGATCCGAGAGGGGGTGGTGACACTGACACTCTCTAGAAAAGGAAGAAAAAAATGTGAAAAGGACAAAAGAATGATTGTTTCTGAGAAAAGTGCAAATGTAAAACCTCTTCAGCGATGAGTGTCTGCGGTTAAATGACATGACGGCTGTCCAGGAACTTGTCGGTGTTTGTTCAATTTGTTCTTCTGTTCAGGTCAAAAACAGGGGAGCAACCGTGTGTCTGTATGAACACTTCGAACTGCATTTTGAGACGTTGCCGTTGCAATTTTCCCAATGTGTTACATGCATTTGCATCATTCTGCTGCCAGTCAAAGACAATGAGTGCTTTCCCAGGCAGTGAGAAATGCTTGCGCAAAAGCTTTTTAGACATCGATCTGACAAAGCTTCTGCTAATTTAGATGGGAGGAGGAAAAAAGACAGAGACAGCCTGGACACAAAATCACAGGAAATTCCACTTCCAAACAAAGTTGTGTTTACAAAACCTAACCATTCCATCTGTAATTTTCTGATAAAATCCAGAGATGTTCTCTTTTTGGCTCCTCTGACATTTGATTCCAGCATCAAACTGCCTCCAGGCAAACTCACAAACAATGCAAACTGCAGTCAGTGCAGTCTTATTAGAAAACAAAACAGGTGGAGCAGGAAACAGGCATGATGGAAATCACAAACATTACACAGGAGCACTATAGGTTGGCTGTTGTGCCAGGCAAATTTTGTGGGAAGAGTGCACGTTTGTGAAAAAGAAAAAAAAAAAACTTGTTTGCATGGTGAGGATGACATCAGTCTTGCAAAACACCTGAAGGGTGAGATGGGAAGCGCTCTGTTGCTGTCTGCTCACAAAGCAATCAGACCTAGTAGAGATCTTTGGATTACACAACAAAAAAAAAGAAAGAAACATAATAAAATTAAAATGACTTTTGAAGAAGTCATTTTCAGATGCCAAACTACCGTATTTTCCAGCCTATAAATCACATCTGTCCAAAACTGTCTAATAATTTGGAAAAATCTATAAATATGTCACTTGCTGTATAAGTCACACCTATTATGCGTCACCGTTGACGCGTCATGTTTGTTATACATCACTGCTGACAAGCCGGAAATGTGGGCCGGTGTTGTGAAAAACATCGATTGGCTGACGAATGGCGGGAGCGTGCACGGGAGGACTTTAACAAGATTAACACTTAAAAACAATTATTTTCTTTGCTCAAAATTATAGCAAAGGTGTGTCTCATTCTAACATTTCCTTAACAAATGCACTTTAACGGTCAAATCAGCTGCATTTCAGAAGTATTCGCTGCCTCGGTGCTCCGGGAGCGCACAGAGGGAGGAAATCAGGAAGGAGGAACGCTGCACATTTCTTCAAAATTTAACAAGATAACCACCTAAAAACAATTATTTGTTTGCTCGACATTATAGCGAAGGTGTGTCTCAGCTGAACTTTTGCTTAATAAATGCACTTCCGTGGTCAAATCAGCTTCATTTCGCTGGGGCGGCACAGCGAAATGAAGCTGGTTTGACAGTTGCTAGGAGCTGGATGAAGGTGGCTTTGTATGGCAAGCCGATTGTGTAATTAATTAATAGCCACTTTTACCTATTACATGACACAACGGCATGTTATACTACTCGAGTGCCATCTAGTGGCTGAAAATGGCAGTGTTCAATATTTTCAATGTCAGAATGAATGAAAACGGTCATATCTCAGTTAAAAATTGGTTTATAAATATGGGGGAAAAAAATCCATAAATAAGTCGCTTCGGCATATAAGTCGCAGGGTATGCAAATTAGACAAAAAGGTGCGACTTATAGGCCTCACTCCAAATGTTTGCAAAGATTTAGAAAAGGACTGACCCTCGAGTCTCTCTGCAACCTTGGTGTCACAGCTTTTAGCCAACTCCGAAACGATCAGTCATTATGTGCTGCCTGACGTGTAATTGATTGGCGAGTATGTGTAGAGGCTGCTAATGGAATATGGTGGTGAGAGCTGACCCCAGGTCTGCCCTGCAGTCTTCTCCAGGCCAGCTTTAATGCATGTGTTATGTTAATTGAAAGTAGTGAAGTGAAGCATACAGTAAATACCCACAGTTTCTTCCTCTTATTTTTTTTTTCTCCCTGCCTTCTCTGCAATTTCTCCCCAACTCTTCTATTCCATCTCAAATGAGGTAGGGGGTGATTTATATCACGGTAATTGTAGAGTAGATGGATCGGACGCAGACGGTAGGACTGCTTGAATGCTTTTCAAAGGATGGGCAAACGGAGGTTAGCACATGATTGCAGAAAATTCCTGACATTTGGAGTGTTTTGTGTGCTGCTGAGCGCAATGATGGTTTCAATTTTGCCTTCTTTGTACACCTCCATCAGTAAAAAAAAAATAAAGAAAAAAGAAAAAATCCATTATGCGGTGTTATTTGAACTTGTACAACTCTACTTTTTAAGATTTGGCTTATCGTGCATAAAGATACAAAAATAGATAAATGTGATATTTGCTTTCTGTCATTTGGTTTCCATGAGAAGTTGTTTTTGGTTTTCTATCAGAAACAAAAATCTTTATCCTTGCTTACTTTTTAGATAACAAAAATCAACTATTTATAAACCCGCACCTGTCACTGCTTATTGTATTATTCATCATGAACCGCAGATTTTTGTGCCATCTTGCATATTTGCAGTGTTTGTGCAGTCTGACACTTTAAACAGTGTTATGTAGGTCACTCACATTAGTTGAAAATCCTATTCAGCTCTAAATTTCTCATAAAACGCAGACAAATACAATACTAACTACAAATAAATCAACTTTTGCTATCAAGAAGCATCTGAATGTCTCTTTTCCTATTTTCTTCTATTATACATTTCCCTGTGTACAATATTTTAAAAAGCTTTACAATCCTAATAATCTCTGTTGTATTGTGTTGTGTTGTGTTGTGTTGTATTGTGTAGGGGTTCAGGGAGTGAACTCATCTTTGCTAAGGGATGCATTTAACTGTCACATCCTCCTGTGCTACCCCCACAGCCACCAATACAATAAACCTGAATAATTTAGATTTTGTGAGGAGAGATGTCCTAAGGTCCCATCTTATTATATTCTCATATTAGCCGGGTAAGGGTGGAGGAAATAAAGGACAGCTTATATATTTATTTATATTTCAGTAAAGGCTGTGCAGGATCTTCTTTTTTTATATAAAGTACTGAAATAAACATGGAACAAGTTAAGCTATTGCATATTATCTCAAGTTTGTGTTATGCAGAAATGTTGACCTTTGACCCTTTGAGCTACACAAAGTCAGCTCAACATATGGTATCCGTCAGGGACGTTCACATTTTTAAAGCAGAAGCTCTCTGGCAGCTGAACTGACCTGTGGTGGGCATTTTTACACCACAGACTGCTTCATGGAGCACACATTCGAGAATTATTCCCACTCATGGTTCATTATTCCGACCAAGTAGACAGGAAGTCTGCTCCCTTCCTGCTAATTAAAAACATTTGATCTAAAAGAAGCAAAAAAGTGCATTTTAAAACTCATGATAAGGCAGTGAACGCAGCGCTAAATGACTCTGCTGTAATTGATATAGAAGATAAAATTGCTAAAAGAAACAGAACACTAGCTGAAAGCTAAAAAGAAGCAAAACTTTAGCTAAAAGCTAAATGCAGCAAAAACTAGCTAAAACTTGAAATTAAGTGTAGTTAAAAGCTAAATGTAACAAAATGGTACCTACAAGCTAAAAGTAGCAAAACAAAGCCTAATGTTAAACTAGAAAGGATTAGCTAAAAGTAGCTAAATTTTAGCTAAAAGTATCAAATAGCTTGCCAAAACAAAATCAAGCAGGTATCAACAGGCTGACTAAAAGCTAAAAGTAGTAAATTTTAAAATGCAAGCTTAAAAACAGTAAACGTTTGGCCAAAAACTAAAAAATCCAAAGGTTGGCTAAAAGTCACAGTCCTCCCCAGTCATTGCAGGTGTACCGCAGGGTTCAGTTCTTGGTCCACTCCTATTTATCATTTATCTTCTTCCACTTGGCCTTATCTTTAAAAAAAAAATGGTATTAATTTTCACTGCTATGCAGATGAGACCCAGCTCTACTTCTCCACCAAGCCCAACACCACCCTTCCTTTCGGACTGCCTCTGTGAAATCAAATTATGGTTTAATCAAAACTTTCTTAAACTGAACTCAAAGAAAACAGAGTTTCTCCTTGTTGGCACCAAGTTTACCTGATCTAAATGTAACATGTTCACAATTAAAGTTGATGATTCCACAGTTTCTCCCTCCCCTACAGCTAAGAGTCTGGGTGTCCTCCTTGATAGCACTTTATCTTTTGAATCACATGTCAATAACATTACTCGGTCTGCATATTTTCATCTTCGCAACATCAACCGTCTCTGTTCATTTCTTACCCCCATCAGCACAGCCATCCTTATCAATGCTCTAGTCATCTCTTGATTATACTACTGTAACTCCCTCCTCTCAGATCTTCCTCTCAAAATCATCCATAAACTTCAGCTTGTCCAAAACACAGCTGCCCAGATCATCCCCAGAACTACGTCGAAGGAACACATCACCCCTGAAACATCTTCACTGGTTACCCATAAAATATGGCATTGACTTTAAGATTCTCCTCCTCACTTTCAAAGCGCTCCATAACTTGGCACCGCTGTACCTCACTGATCTTTTTTGCCATTACACACCCGCCCGAAGTCGTCGCTCCTCCCCATCCATCGCTCTTGTTATACCTCCTGCCCGCATGACAACCATGGGATCCAGAGCCTTCTTCCGCAAAGCCCCTCTCTCTGGAACTCTCTTCCACAGCACATCAGTAATTCTCATTCTCTGCCCTCATTTAAATCTGACCTTAAAACTCACTTTTTCAAATTTGCTTATTCAGTTTAATGTCATTATGTACTTGACCATTAATTGTGTTTGATTTTATTGATATCTGTATTTTGTTGTTTTATTGTTTTTACCTTTGTATTTCTTGTTCAGTGACCTTGAGTGATTTGTAAGGCGCCTTCAAATAAAATGCATTCTTCTTCTTATTATTATTATTATTAAAAGCTAACAGTAGCAGGATGGTAGCTAGAAACTAAAAGCTTACTAAAAGCTAAACTGAGGTTATAGGTGCTAAAAGCTAAAAAAAAAAAAAAAGCATAAAAATGCCAAAGCAAAGTATGCTGAAGCAGATTTCAAAGAAAGCAATGTTTTCGAAGGAATTTTAATGTATTTCCATGAAAAACATATTTATAAATAAACTTAAATATTATGCAAAGTAAAAATGTTACAAAACCCAGAGGTCATACCACAACACTCATCTCATGAATGGCAAATGTTTTGATGTACGAATAGATAAAATAGCAAAGTATGTAAAAGTAGTTGGATTGTAAAAACCATAAAAACAACACCAATCTATAAAAACAGTAGGCCTACTGTCAATAAAGCTGTCAACATTCACAACATTACATTTTTTTTAAAAACAAAACATCCCCCTCTCTCTCACCTTTGGGGGGCAGTGTGATAACTTGATCTGCCCTGATGATGATGCCATTCTTCAGCTGCAGGATGCAGGTGTAGTTCCCTGTTACATTGGAGGTGATGGGTAAGGGCAGGGTGGTGCTGATGATGCCAGGGCCCCCAGAATTCAACTTCAGTTCCCTGCTCTTATTGTGGTGTTCCCACACCATCCTTTGAACCTGGGACACCTCTGAGTACTGGCATATTAACTCCTGCTTGGAGGAGTACTTTCTGATTCGAACTGCACAAGAAAGAGAAAAAACGGGAAGGGAAATGTGAACAATAAAAAGAGAAACGGTTAAAAAGAAGGATGAGTTAGGGAGGAAACCCAGTCAGGAGGGGTAGAAAAGGGAGTGAGACGAAACGAGAAAGTGAGTTAAAGGGTAGTGTGTGAATTTAGAAAAGGTCAAGAACAGATAGAGAGTAATGAGAGAAAAGGGGATAGAAAAAAAAACAAAGAACAATTCAGAGAAGGGTCAAAATAATATGTATTCATTAAAGTGATTTACTGCTAATGCATTAGTTGGCTGTGACTGATGCTCGGTGTCTCATCAAACAGTAATGAGAATCCATCTGGGTGTAATCAAGCTCTGCAGATCCCAACCTCACACACGCATAAAAACACACACTTCAGCCTTGATTAGTGCGATCAGCACGGGCCACCCATGGCCTCGGTGTGGGGGCAGCAGGCATAATCACACATAATGACACTTATAACGAGGCGGGGTAAAAATATATGCGTCACATGATTGGTGAGTGGGCAGAGGTGTGTGAGCGATGTGTAATGGGCGCAGACATGTGAAGCAGGGTGGCAGTGACAGATCGACCGGTCATGTCTGGGCAGCGGTGATGGATGCCAGTGGAGCTGTGATTAGTAAAGCCTTCCAAGGCCAGAATGACAGGCTGTTGTATGTGTGTTGTTGTGTTTTTCTGTGTGTGCGTGTGCAAAAAAGGGGGTGGGAAAAACCCCTAAAGGCACACTCCTAAAAATCAACAGGTGCTGAGCTTGATTTTCTTTGTCTTAAAATTCATGAATGGAATAATGTTCTCTTTCAGGAGCAATAGAGTCTCGTTTTCATTTAATATTGTGACATTTTCGCCATGGCTCGGGGAAATTTTCTCATATTTATTTTCCTCAGCCAGAGTCGGTGAATGAGGCACTAAAGCCTGAAAGAATTTAATGTCTCACTCAAGGACAGTTCAGGAGGGTAAATGATTGCTGAAATACCTCCAGAGACAGGTACTCAGGTGTCAGGGTGGTGTCTCTAAACATAATTACCTCCATGGTTGATTTTTAACTACCCTGAAGAGACTTTAACAGAAGAAGTGGGCATTTTGGGGGAATATGTGCTCTGTCACCTGCTGCAGAAAGTAAATACTGTAAGAGGATAAATAATCTGCCTGTGATCACTGTGTCTTTATCCCGAGTGACGAGGAAGGTTAATTAAAAAACTTAAAGCAGGGGTGAGCTGCAGTAAAAATGGTTAAATATTAGTATTATATTTGAAAATTTGAAAATATTTATATATATTTTAACCATGTTTTGAGCAGTGAAATCATTGTGCATTGACTGCTTTAAATATGTTTTTTTGTTTTACTGGTAACCATCTAAAAAAATTATAAAAAATTCTATATGCATTTAAAATATTTTATACATACATACATACATACATACATACATACACACACACACACACACACACACACACACATATATATATATATATATATATATATATATATATATATACACATATATGTATAATATATATATATGTATATATATAGTGGTGCTTCTGAGTTTGTGAACCCTTTTGAATTTTCTATATTTCTGCACAAGTATGACCTAAAATATCATCAGAATTTCTCACAAGTCCTAAAAGTAGATAAAGAAAACGCAGTTAAACAAATGAGACAAAAATTTTATACTTGGTCTACAAAGTTCATGCTCAATAATCTAGATAGAAAATCTAACAAAGCTCAGTCAGGTCATCTGGACGGTCTGTTTTTTTTTCTTTTTTTTTTTCTTGTTGAGACGTTTTGTCCTTCATCCAAAGGACGTCATCAGTCTGAGGAGCCACAACAAACTGAGTCCCACAAGCAGCAAACCCACATAGTGGACCAACCAGTTTGCTGGTGATATAATGGTTTCTGTGGTGCTCCCGCTCCTCCATCGACTCTTCTGAGGCAGCCAAAACAACAAAGTTCATGCTCAATAATCCAGTCTAAAAAAACATCCAGATCACCTGACTGAACTTTGTTGAATTATACTTGGTCATTTATTTATTGAGGAAAATGACCCGACCCAGTATTAAATATTTGTGTGTGGCAAAAGTGTGTGAACCTCTAGGATTAGCTGTTTATTTGAAGGTAAAATTAGAGTCAAGTGTTTTCAATCAATGGGATAATCAGGTGTGAGTGGGCACCCTGTATGAATTAAAGAACAGGGATCTATCAAAGTTTGCTCTTCACAACATGTTTGTGGAAGTGCAGGAACATGTCATTCATGGCAGGTACAAATGAGATTTCTGAGGACCTCAGAAAAAGAGTTGTTGATGCTCATCGGGCTGAAAAAAGTTACAAAACCATCTGTAAAGAGTTTGGACTCCACCAATCCACAGTCAGACAGATTGTGTACAGATTGAGGAAATTCAAGACCATTGTTAACCTCCCCTAGGAGTGGTCGACCAACAAAGATCACACCAAGAACAAGGCGTGGAATAGTCAGCGAGGTCACCAAGGACCCCAGGGTAAATTCTAAGCAGCTGAAGGTCTATCTCACATTGACTGATGTTAATGTTCATGAGTCCACCATCGGGAGAACACTGAACAACAATGGTGTGCATGACAGGGTTGCACGGAGAAAGCCACTGCTCTCCAAAAAGAACATTGCTGCTCGTCTGCAGTTTGGTAAAGATCACGTGGACAAGCCAGAATACATTTAACATTGCCAAGACAAAGGCCACACAAGATTTATATTGCTTCCTTTGTTTGTCATTCATAAAATCTGACACCCAGTGTTTTGTAGACATCCTCCACATCATTTAACATAATACAACTTAAAAGGCTTTAAACACCTACTTTCTAGTTTTGCTCTACGTCTTTCATGCTTTTTATTTTTACCTTTCAGCACGATGAGCGTTGTACTCTGGTTGAAGACGTTGTCATTGAGATAAACTTTACAGATGTAGACGCCACCATCTGATAGGTCAGGGGTCAGAAGGAAGGAGAAGCTCCCAGTCTTTGCGCTGTAGGGTGGACCAGCCAGCCGGATTCTCTTACTTTCCTTCTGCGTGGAAACCCTCCATCGGTCGTAATTGTGCACTAGCTTCATTATACTGTTTTGTTTGTTGAATTTTGGGGGAATCCAGTACAGCTGGACAAAGTCTCCCTGGACACTGGGACAAGTCAGAGGGATGGATTTTAGAGCCTGAACGCCAGTGTGGATCATGTGGTCTGCAGGCAGAGATGGAGATGGGTGTGAAGACATTACAGTGCACGGAAAACCGATTTATCAGCACAAAAAAATAATAAGTACAGAGTGAGGTTAAAACAGAGAGTCAACAGAATAGCAAAGCAGTAATGAAGACCGAGGAAGATTTTCTGCAGCAATGTGGATTAAGTTTTTATATGCTGAGGGAGACCTCTGACCTTATGCTCCACCTGATTAGCAAGTTGCTGACAAAAGACTTTCAGACTGCTGATTTGAAAATGACTTACCGTGTTTTGCACTGACGAATGAGGCCACTTTGTCAGCTGTGTGAGAGAAGAAGAGCAAAAAACAAAAATGGAAAAGAGAGGAACAAATAATGAATAATGCATAAATGTAGCAACTGTAATATTCACAGGAGGACAAGCTGAATTTCAGTGCAGATCTACAATAAGCTTTTGAATCTCAAAACTGGTCTATAAAAGTAAATACTTTAAAGAAAAGTAGCTGCAGGACTCTTGAATAAATAATGCTTCTGCTGAAGTTTCTGGCTTTGATGCCCACTCACATCATGAGCAAAAACAACAACAATTGCATTCTGTTCCTCAGTGCTTCTATATATATATATATATATATATATATATATATATACATATATATATATATATATATAGTATATATCTTTTCCTCCAGCCTCACCATCAACAGTCACGTTCACATTTATAGCCAACACGTTGGTGCCGTTTCCCTGGGGGTAAACGCTACAGATGTAAATCCCGCCGTCACTTTTCTGGACCTGTGGCAGTTTGGTCACTGTGCCCGTGTTGGGCTTCTTCTCAGTCTTCAAGGAAAGGCCGCCAGGTGCCGTCCAGGTGATTTTGGAAACGGCGTTGTCAGGTGTAACTCGGCCAAAGAGCCGCAAGATGCTGTTCTGAGGGACGGGCGCATCTGGGTAGAAGCTGACTAGAAAAATATAAAAGGTTACAGAAAATAAATTATGCTATTGAGTAAATTAACTAAATCGTTAACTTTGGATTAAAAAAATGCATTTAAAAAGATAAAATATTAAAGCTCAACCATCTTAAATTAAATTGAATAACATGCAAAAAATTTAAATTAAGATCTTGTGCAATAAGAGATTTGGGTATGCGTTAAGGATAACAAGAAAACTTTGAGCTCAGTGCCTGTAAATGTAACTGTGATATAACCATTTGTTAGGTTTGCAAGGCTTATTAATTGTGGTGACCATCTTAATTAAATCTTACACCAAAAGGCGAAATCAAATTGAACAAAAATCCTGAGATGTGCTGCTGTTGACTGTTACTACACAAAATTTTCACTAAATGTCTTAAAATTACTAATTTATAGCCATTTTTTGCATTTGACTAAGGTTGATTATCTGTGGCAGCTAACTTGAATTGTGTTTGGTTGGTGAGATATTTTGCTAACACACACAAACATAGTCCGTTACATGATTAAGTCACCGTTTGTGTGATTCTTGGTGTTTTTATTTATTCATTTTTTACTTTTTAACCAGTTAGCTTTTCTCCGTTCCTTGTTTTTCAGAGTTTGTCGATTGTGCCAGTATTTATGATTACTGGATTCTTTGGACCCAAAAATCCAGCCAACACACAGAATGATGTGATTTATAGAATTTATTTTAGGAATACTGCAGCGCTGAACGCGGGATTGCAGGAACCGTGTGCAGATCTGAAGCGGAGCGAGATGAATGAGTAACTGAGAAGTGGCAGGTAGCACAATCCTGTTCAGATCAGGATAGACCAAACTGTCAGTGGTTCCTACAGATATGATGGGAAAAAACCCTAGGGAGATCCGTGAGCTACAAAGGAAGCGAGGAAGGAGAAACATTCCTGGCATGGTTAACATAGGATCCACTGATAGACAGGTAAAAATCCAGCAGGCAGAGAGGAGTCAGAAGTCAGGCGTGGGTCAAAACATTCAATCAGAGTCCATAAGAAAAACCAGTCAGGTGCCGACGAAGCGCAGGGGATCAGAAAGCAGAAACAGGGTCGTGATCACAATGACTTGACTTGAGCTTTGAAAATGCTGGATTTCGTCTGCATGAGGCTTCAGATAATCTGGCAGCCATGCTGTGACTGGAAGGAGATTATATCGTGAAGTGCACAGGTGAATATTAGACAGGCACAGGTGAGCACGGTTAAGTGACTGAGTAGTCCTGGGTAAGAAGAGAAGAAAAATCATTCCTAGAGACAGTCCAGGCACGAAATGAAAACAATCCAGGAACATGAATCATAACTATGATCAGTTTAGTTTGTATTCACTGTATCCATGTTCCCTGCCAGTAAGTTCCCTCAACTCCTCTGACCACTAACACCTGCTGACCATCATCCATCCCCCCCACCTGTTCTCTATCACTCACCAGTGTAACAAAACTCCCTGTTTTACTAATTTTTTGTCAGAACCTAAGTTTTGGTTCCTCGTGTCTAGATTCAGTTTCAGTCATGGGGGGGGGGGGGGGGGGGGGGGGGGGGGGGGGTTACATCTGTCTTATTGTTTTCATCTATCAAATATTTTGGGATTAACCTGCCAGCTGTTGGCACTCTTGGGTCCAGCAACCATCAAGTGTTTAAAACCACCCAACTTTCAATTCATTTACCAAATTCACACATATTTTTTTTCTCTTCTTTCGGTTGCTCCCTTCAGGTTCACCACAGCGAGCAAACTCGCAAGAGGGTTTGGTTATTGTTCCACACCGAATGCCTTTCCCGATGCAACCGTAGAGCACTGAGCTACTGAGCTCTGTGTGGAGGACTGCCATCTAGAGCACCTGGGTAGAGCTGTCATTTCTTACCCGAACCCGGAGCCTGGCCCCGCTCGACCCGGATTAGGGCTGGGCCATAATAATGTACTTAATGTGTGGGCCGGATTGGTGTTGGGCTATTGATTGTGTCAGTGGACGCACGCGGTTGACGATCCAATTATATGGCACATGGCTTGCGACAACTTCACCAGCCGCACGTGGTCATTTAACAGTGCACTGACCTGCCTTGATAAAGGTAAAAAGTTCAGTTAAGCTTCAGATGGACTACTGCCAGCGATCCATCAGCCCAAATGGACGTTCATTCAGCTGCTGCACTCAGCGAACGCGTGCGGCTGACGACCCGATTTTGTGAGATCACAAAATATCCAACATGTCAGAGCAGGGCCCGTGTTTGAATAATGCAGAATGCAGGCAGAAGCAGCTCCGATCTTCTGCCCCTTTACTCAGACGCGTGCGTCCACCGACCAACCCACATTTTGATGTTATGGTCAGAAGGAGATTTGAATCCATGACCTTCCGATCAGAGGTTTGCTTCTCTAGCCTCTGCACCACCACTCCCCCTAAAAGGCCACACGTATCTGTAAAGTAAAATAATCCAACATTTCTCAGTGAAATGTTCAGGAGTCAAACTCAAACAAAATAACTGATAAAATACACAAGTAACCTTCCGAAGTTACCACGGCAATCAGCGTAAGAGGTGTGCTTGAGGCAGAAATCATTTTTTGAAGTTAGATTTTTTTTTGTAACAAACAAGTGGCCTTTCAGTAACAACTTTAAAAGTTGATGTGTATAATATTCCATCATATATAAATCGGAGTAATTTCACGCACAAGCACCAAAACACAGATTTTAAGTAATAAAGGTGCAGCAGACAAAGACGTGAGTTTGGAGCTGAGTGAAAATGTGCTGTTTATCTTTCAACTTCATAAATATGCATTAAAAAAAAAGATAATTTACGGTAGGATTTATTTCTGAAGGAGCCTGCTGTTGAATTGTAAAATAGCAAAAGGAAGAAAAAGTTCTCACCACGATAATACAAACACATTTTTTAACATTTCACTGCTGCAGTGATGAGTTCAGCTTGATGTATTTTTGGGGTATCTTGTCTTATTTTTGATTACACGTGATGTGTATTTTAGTATTTTTGGTTTTGTGTACGTACATACATTTTTGGCCTTCACTGAACTTTCTTGTGAAAAAGGTTTTTAGTCTCAAGAGTCTTATTTCCTGGTTAAATGAAGGCCTAAACTTTTCTACATGAACTTAGTCATTATAATCAGTGCAGGATGAAACGGTTACATGTGCTTGGGGCAAAGATTATTATTATTTTTTTTTTGCAGGTTCTCATTTTGCAAAGCAAATCACCAGCTATTAGTTATATAACTCTTTATAATTGGGTGCATGAGAACGAGCAGTGATTTTTTTAACTTAGAAAAGATCAGTAAGAAAGAACAAAACAATAAAACAGCAGTGAATTCAAAATTATCTAAAATCCTCCTTCCTCTCAAAAGTGTGTTATTGAATGGGGAGCATTTTTCATCTACTGAACAAAAATTGTGTTCAAATAAAGAATTATTCTTGGAGGTTATTCTCAGATAATTGATTGAAAATGATTTCTGGCAACAACAACAACAAAAAAAAATTGTCAAAAAGTCATTTTACATCAACCAGTAAACAAACATTGCTGAGGATATGCTTTAAATAAATTGATTTAAGCACTTGTGGGGTTTCTATAGCGCACAGCCTCTCACAGACGGTTTAACCCATTATTTTTCTACCTTTTAGGACTGCTAGGAGGAAGGTCTTCTCCTTCAGTTTCCTCTCCTGGTGCTTTATAAGACACAAGTAGAGACCACCGTCCTCCACTTTGGGTGAGAGGAACAGTGAGAAATCCCCAGTGCCTTGAAAGTTGCTGTCCGTCATTCGCATGGATTCCTTCGAGGCTCCTCCGGAGAACTTCTTCCTTTCACAGGCTGAGAAAATAAGTTTCCACTCACCCACACCACCTGACTTCACCATCCAGTTAATAGATTTGTCACCTCTCAGTGCTGGACCGGCACAGCCCAGAGTAGTCGGTGAGTTTTCTTCGACCAGCACAACATCGTGTTGGTCTACGAAAGAGAAGAGGAAAAGTCATGCGTCCATTTATGGATGAATTCTTGAAACAAGATTTAATTAATTGTGACCAAAGGTCCAAACATGCTCAACAATTTAAAGATGTTTTTTTTTAATTGGTTTTATTGAGGAAAGGTTCACAAATAGTCTTTGTTAAATGTGTTTAAAAGACACAACTAAGCATCTGCAGTCAAAACAGTCAAAACTAAAGGCCATATATAAAAAATTGTATATTTCAAATAATATTTCCTACTTTTTTAATGTACAGTTTATTGCTTGTTGTGCAGAGTATCTCACTGAGACTGCTAGCAACTTGTTGGTGAGCAGCATCTCCAAAAGGACTATGTTTATGGGGGTTTCTCAGATTTTCTGCTTGGCTTGCAGTCAGTCCTGTCACTTGCATTTTCAATGTGTTAAAAAAAAGGTGAAATAAATAATAAATTTTCTCTAAATAACGATAGAGTTGTCATGGGAGTCTCTTATTTGTCAAGCTCAATAGAGCTGCATGTTACTGTACATGCAGATCTGTGATAGAAAGCACACCCAAGCTTAAAAAAACATGCAAATGATTTATAATAATTATAGAAAATTTGGTCCAGATTGGCTTGTCTTTATTTCAAAAGCTTGATTTAAGTTGCTGCTTTGGTTGATACAAATGAGATGGGCAATGAAATTCTGCTCACAACCTAGAATACAAGCTGTAATTAAAAAATTTACCACATGACATGTACACAATTTAAACAAATGATTAACTTATAATAGAGCCATTATCAAAACACAATGTGCAAACACTTGCAAGTGAGCCTCAATAACTATAACTTAAATAAATGAAAGTGTAAGAATTTTATTATAGGTCAACCTACTTCCGGTTTGAAAAAACACAATAAATTAGGCTCAGTTTTCTGGTTCACAGTGTTTTATTTTAGCTGAGGTGAATCAACGTGGTGAATTGTAAACCCCACTGACAGAAAATTGAGTTTTATGATTTACATGTAGCTTGACACAATACTTTGAGCTCAAAGGAAAATAATAAATAATTACCCACCCTCCTTTTTTTTTAAAACAGTGTCTATAATCACTTTCGTAGTAAAAAATACATTTTTGGGAATAACTTCCTGATTTTTTTTGCCACTAAAACTGACATTCTGAGCATCTTGTTATCTAAAATTGAAATAACTAGAAATAAAAATGTCTACGTTTGCTGCACATTTTTTCTTTTGATTCTGTTTGTCTCTAAGCCTGATGTGAAATACTAACATGTGGCTGATAGCAGCAGATCATAAATTACAGGAAAACAAGCTGTCCTTAAACTCATCCCTAACTTGATGAAACACAGCTATAAACATGATCAAATATCAACACGGATGTAAATTATCGCTCTTGATACATGACTCATTTTTATGCGTATTTTATGTGGCTGATACATAAATATTTCAAGCTTAAAGGTAAAAAAAAAAATAGTAGTTTAAAATATATTTCTTGAGGAAACATACCTGTGATCTCAATGCGAGTGGAATTTGTTGCAAAGGAAAAAGCAAGAAACAAAAGGATGAACCCCGACTCCATCACACATTTAATGAAAATAAAAGAAAATGTCTCAGCGCACCAGTTTTCTCTCTATAACACTGTGACCTTTCTAAGTTTCTCCTCAGAACACAAAGTATTTTTCTGGATCCTACTGGGGTTCCTGACTGACATGTTAACAAGTTCTGCTGAACATCTCAGAGCTCAACAGGATGTGAGGCCTAGAAACACTGTTATAATCAGCAGGAAAAGCCTGTCATCATTCCAGTCGTGTGTGCGTGCATGAGCCTGATACTAATACATATCCAGTGTTGCATTTCCATACAATCATTATGAGAACAATTGCAGAATACGTTTGCAATAAAAAAGTAAAAATGATGAATAATGCGCACAAGTTTCAATTTGGTTCAGCGTTTTGTTTTTTTTAAATTAAATTTCACATAAAATGAAAAGTTGCATCTGAACACGGTGGAGTGTTTTCAGGGACGTTGCACTTTGATGTTATAGAGGTCTGCAAAAAAACCTCTGAGTTCTCTATTTAACCACTTTTCTTAGTGAAATTGGCAAAGAGTTGTCAAATTGATTGGTCGACAGCTCACACGTTTTCAAAAAGGTCGAGAACTAGGAACTAGGAACTTTGGAAGGATGTTTCAAAAGTGGCTTTAATCATTCCTGAACCATCTGTGACTTTTTCATTAAGGCTGCTGTCCGGTCAAAACACAACTGTTTCTTTTTTCAATTTCCACTGGACGCAGAACCACTGCAGACCCAGCACCACTAACAGTTACACACAGTTACACACAGTTACACACTAACTGCTTTCAGGTTTCTGGTGGCTGACAGCATCACCTTCATTCCTCCTGACGTGGTTCTTTTCATTGTGGCCAAACAACTCAATAAATATCTCATCTGACGACTAAACTTTCCTTGAGATGCTTTTTCTTTGTTCCACGTTGTTACCTGTCAGTCTGAGTTTGTTCAGAAACAGAAGCCTTAACTGTGAATGTTGCTCTAGCATTCACAAAGTTGTCTACCTGTTTGTTTTTTACAGAAAACTTTTGGAAGTCTTCTACTTTTACTATTTTAGCTATTTATATATTTAGCTTGTTCGGGAGATGGGCGCAACAAATTTTGTTTCTGTAACTTTTATCCTTCATAATTTTTACCTTGATTTATAAATATTTTCTTCATGAAAAACATTGAGATCTCTTTAATCTCTTTAAAAAAAGTTCACTCTAAAATCTGCTGCAACATATTTGCTCTATTTTTTCTTTTCTTCTTTTAGTTTTAGATGCTTTTCTGTTTTTTAGAAACCTTTTTACTACTTTTGGCTTATAGTTAGCCATTTGCTACCTTTAACGTTTTACTAGCTTTTGGCTGCTTTCAGCTTGCAGCTAGCCTTTTGCTGCTTATAGCTTTTACCTTGCGTTTTACGGGTTTAGCTACCCTTCTTCTGCATGATACTTTAGCTTTTAGCTGTACTTTTGCAACTTTCAGCTTGTGCCCAGCCTTTTGCTACTTTTCGTTTGTAGCCATGCCACTACTTTTAGCCTTAATTAGCATTTTACTATGTTTAGCTTCTGATACTTTACCATTTTGTACTTTTAACTAACATTTTTGCTTTTGTATTTTTTTTAGCTAGCCATTTGCTAAATTTAGCTTTTCTAAGTGTTTTGCTATTTTTAGCGTGTGTTTTGCTTCTTTTAGTTTTAACAATTCAGTTTCAACTTCTTTAGCAAGTACAAGCACAGTCTTCACAGTATCCCCTCAGAAAATGCAGTTTGTGCAGTTTTAACGTAAAACTTACTTTGACACAAATAATCTCATTCTGCTTTCCTTCGGTGATTCCTGGGTTGTTTTTGAAACCAACTTTCTGACTGCAATGTGAGCACAAGGCGTTACATATTGCACACAGGATACAGTTTTTAATTTAAAAAAAAAAATCTGAACAACTAAAACCCAATCTACAGATGGTGGTGCAATTAAAAATGCCATGTGCAGATGGTGATGTGGTGGAAAATAGCATACAGATGGTAGTGCAATAACGACAGTAAGAAATTTACAATTACTGAGCTCCCAGGATGCTTTTTTCCCTTCAAATTGTGCTGTGAGTTGGTTAATCTAATGAGAGCTGCCTCTTGTATTAGTGCACATGCCATGCTGGAGTTATGACGCACTGGCAGTTCAAAAGACTTGCATTTTCATCATGATGATGATGATTTCAGTGAATGTATGCGTACCGTTTTGTCAGATTTGTGTAATAAACCTTTATTTTCGTCTACTTAAGACAAATGTAGCAGAAAAGCGACGCTGAAACACATCATAGAAAGCTGAACATGACCATGATACCATAGTTCTGGACAACTTAAGACTTAAAAGAACTTCCAACCCTCGGAAAAATAAATTAAAAATAGATAAATAGCCACGTCACGTGCGTATCATAATGTGTGTGAAACCGAGAAAAAGATAACTCAAACAGAGAGCAGGAAAAATTGAGAGATGAAAAATCAAAGACATGAAGAGTTAGGGGTTGATGTGGGTACTCAAACCCCTGGGCTGCATGTCTTTACATCCCATAAATGTCTTTAATTAAGCTAAAGGTATTATCAGCTCCTCTGAGCACCATTACAGATTTTTTCATAATTACTACTGGGGGTATGGGGGCGGAGAGAAGCGATAGAGAAGGAGAGAACGTGAAAATGTATTGTGGGTGTCTAATGACAAGGAAAGTAAAGCGACACAAATGTAGAGGAGAGCAGGGAGAGGGCGAAAAATGTGAAAGGAGAGGTGCTAAGGCAAATGAGAAAACTGGGAGAGAGGAGAGGTTGTTTCAGGAGAAGGGACACAGTGTGACCAGAAAAAAAAGCCTGTGGCTGCTGATAGAGAGCATGATCCTGTGCCCCCCTCCCCCTCCACTCCCCCTCCTTTATGGGTAAATAATCACCATAAGCCATAGCTCTGTAATGAATCCACCAGCAATGAGCTAATATCTGTTAACTATCCGCTTCATTATCGCTGCCACAGACCCCCGGAGAGCACGAGGACGAGCAGCAGGAAGGAGTGAAGGGCGAGTGGACGGGGAAAATTGAATGACATGGGAAGAGGAGCAGGAGGGCGGAAGTGCAAATGAAGGAGCAGTTAAAGGGGTGCATGATGAGGTGCAGTATGAGCAAAATGGGTGGTAGCAAGAAATAAGAAAGTGTGAAGGTCAATCTGCTACGGGTATGAAAAATACATGAGGAGAAAGAATGAAATCCTCTGTATTCGGAGGCCACTCTGTATATAAAGCTCCTTATCCTGCTATGAATGGATTCAATTTAGTCGTACTGGTGGTGGTGGCGGGTAGGTGCACACTTTGACTATCACCCACCACTAAACACAAGACAACAATGTATTTGCGTATGTTTATCTATAGTGTAAGCAAAATTAGTTGTATGGATTTTAATGAAACTCTTAGATAATCATTGGTTGTACATCTGCAGGTACAACTGATTATGTTTTGTAGTCATCATCATTCAAGATGGCCGCCACAGCTAAGTAAATAGAAAAATGGCTACAACTCAACCAGTTTTCCAAATACTGATATGTAATTTGGCGTGGTAGTTGTTGAGATTCATCCCCGGGTTAGGGACAGAACAGCTGGACGATTAGGTTGTAGAAGGAGATGTCTGCGCCTCCCTCCTGACTCTGCAACAAGTGGAAAATAATGGATGGATGAAGGCAAGCCAATTTAAGATGCCCACCACAGCTAAATTATGTTAACTACTACAAAAATGGCTAAAACTAGGTGTGGTAGTAGCTGAGAGTCATCTTCAACACATATTCTGAGGGCTAACACATCTTACAATATTGCACTAGATCCATAAAGTCATTTGTGTGGTTGAACCAAAACGAGTAATTTCTGTCATTTCTCATGTTGAGATGAACTCGGTCTGAAACTCTGGCATGAAAGGCCGCGGGTGACGTACGTTCCTTTGAAGACGTTAGGGTTTTAATCTGCAACGTGCCTTCATTTCTCAGCAGTATAGAGCGGCAGCAAAAATATTAACATTCCTGCGAAAAGAGTGTTTGCCAATAAAAACACAAACAGATGTTTCAGTCAAATAGTTGCCTCACACTCCACGGGTGGGCGAAGAACGTTAAGATTCGCACTCCTCGTTCTCAGGCCAACAAGTCCAGAAGAAAACTCGCCAACTCTTAATCTGCAGAATTATTGACCCCTGATTATCATCAGTGGTTGCACCTCAGAAAAACAGCCCCGCAAATAGGAAGCGGAGAGGAAGCGAGCAGAAGAGAAGGAAGCAGACAGCACATTAAACTGTGGGACTTATGGAGATGTAATTACATTGGCTGTAAAACACTCGGGCATAAGGATTAGACCTAAAGCAGATAATTCCTTTGCCATGTGAGTGGGCACCCTGCTTTCAGGAGGCAAAATGAATTTGAAGGTATCTTGAGAAGGAAAAAACAATCATCATCATTAGTCTGCCTGCACACAGTTGCAGGAGCAGGAAGCTGTTTGCTTTTGATTTCATTTTGCTGACTGCCTCTGGATTTGTATTTTGAGACTCCTTAATGAATGTTTATTGATTTTTAGTATTATGGAAATCACAGGAGTGAGGGAAAACGAGCAGCAGGGGGCGCAAGAATCATCTGTTTGCGCGCACATCCTCACAAAGTTCGGGTTTTCCCTTCTTGTTTTCTTTGAATTATATTTCATTTATTTATGTGCGTGTCAAGGTGGTTTGAGAGCAAAATCTGAGTTGACACGTGTCAGAGGATCAATATGAAACGATGCTTGATTTACTGACAGGTCCTACCTCAAAGTGAGCTGAATTGATCGAGCTGCTGCTTATTGCTCTTGGAAGAGAAATCACTCTTCAGTGAGATGTTCCGAGGAGTTCACTCTCATCCGATGAGCAGATTGCAAAAAGCCCCACGAGGCCAATCGGAATCATATTTGGCTGGGTGCGCTTTGGTTTGACTCAACACCTGCTGGTTAGTTGCGCTCCAGCTGGAAGTTGTGCCCTCTAAGAAAAGAGATAAATAAAGTCAATTTCAACAAGTTGTTTTGTGATCCTTCCTCCTCCTCCTGGTCCTCTTGTCCCCTAATTGGTTTTCGGGACGGCTCTCTCTCTCTCATCTTCCTGATGACATCACCGCGGCGCGGTCAGTCCCACGCTCTGATCGTCGCGCGCTCTCACACTTTACAGGGACTAGTTGCTGGAGCGGAGACGCCGCATTACACCCCGAGCAGCAGCTGAGGAGGGGACGTGCACTCACCTGTGTGCTGCCACGACGAATTAACGAGGATTTTTCTTCTTGCGTGATTTAAACTCACAGAAAGGACTCGACTCTTTTTCTCTCGTCCGCTCGGAAGAGATAATAATAAAAAAAAAACAAGTTTTTTCTCTTCTACCCTCTTTTTTTTTTGGTTTGTTTTCTTTTTGTTTTGGTTACTGAGTGACTCCAAGTCTTGTCCAGCGGGAGGGTTCGCTTCAATTTTCAAATTTATTTCCGGAGAGACTTTGTGGAGCATAATGGCGAAAGATGTCGGAACAAAAATGTTGGGACTGCTGCTCTGCTTTGCTGCGTCGATACTTCGCCAACACGGTAAGAAACTATTTGTTTTAAGTCTGGACACGGTTCTGTTCTGTAAAAATAAAAGTAGTACCCTTTGAGGTCTTTTGAGTTAAAATAAACCGAGATAAATGAAATAAAAACACCTGTCAGGTTGTTGGCAGGACGGAAGCTCGGCAGGTGATTTAAGCTCGAGGTTTTCCGCCTTGTTTCTTCTAAATATCTCTTAAAATGTTATTTGAGAGACTTTGGTGTCACTGATACTGGCTTTCTAGATTCTTCTGGACTTTTCGGTCAGTGACCCGAGTTTCGGTGGGTGACTCAACGCCATTCTGTTTCCCTAAGGTGTGGCTCTGGAACAGGTGAACTGCTGAAAAACCTGCTGCGCTTCAAAACAGCTGAGAGTCTGTTTCCATCAAATCCTCACCCCTTACCCCTTCACTACACATCATCTGTTGAGAGAAAATGAGGAAAGCTCCAAATGAAATAAATTAGTAACTATTATTCCAAAGTGACAGATCAGTCCTGCTTCTTTGGCTCCTAAATGTATTATTCAGGTGATCTTCCACCTTCAGCTCAGGTAGCTTACAGGTAAAGAAACCCAATCACCCCTTTGCCATTTAAAGGGACAGTGCGTTCATTTTTAGAGGGATGATCTTTCATATCAATTGTATCTTTTTGAACTGTCACATCAATGGTAAGCGCCAAAAGCAAAAACCTTGTCCAGGCTACTAAAGGAAGTTCCATTGTATTATAACAACTCTTCCTCAAAACGTGGCATACTGATAGGACGCTACATCAGCTGATATGAAACGGCTACACGTTTGTGTGACTCTGCTTTTAATGTTTGTTTTCTCAACTGATCATTGCACCGTGAACTTGTGCCGACCTTAGACCAGGCGAGTCCAGTTCTGGTCCTCGAGGGCCTCCTATCCTACATGTTTTACTGCACGTTTCCCTGCTGCTCCAACACACCTCATTAAGTGATTTACTTCAAGTTCTGCAGAAGCGTGCACATTTTATTATAACCCATTTATTCAAATTGGGTATGTTTGCAAAGAAATGTATGCAAAGAAACTTCAAAATCATGCAGGATAGTAGCCCCCGAAGACCAGGATGGACACCTCTGTAGACCATGTGACACTGAGAAGATGCTGAATGTCACAGCCCACCAGGACTTGAGTAAACCTTTGGACTGACTGGACCATCAAGATGTACTGATGTCTGATTTAAGTCCCAACTTTCAATGGAAACAAATGGAACATATTCCTGACTATGAGGCCATCACACGGTCAACCATACTGTAACATGGCACTTTTTTCCAGGTCCCAATTGAAAATGAATGTACAAAAAAAAAATGTACATGGGAACATACAGCAGCAAAAGCTACAGAAATCAAAATTACCAACTGAAAAAAGTATCTCTGAAGTGTACTTTCTATTTTTAGTTAGGGGTGCACCGATAAATCGTCCGGCCGATGTATCTGCACATATTTCCTTAATTTTGAGAGATCGGCCGATACGTTCATGAGAAACCAATTTTACAGATTTTTTTATTTTTTTTGTAGTTTTAACAATTGTCAAAACTTCATTTATATTTGAGCACTACCTCGTGGCCAGTTAAAACAAGTTTGTATTGTTTCTAGGATATTGTTCAAGGTTATGTTTTTCAATAAAATAAGTTTGGAAAATTGAAGGTACGTTTTGACCTTGTAACACCTGACAGTGTCGCTTATAAAACAAAATCGGGATCGACAAAAATCAGAATCGGCAAGTCAGGCTTTTTAGAGATCGTGATCGGCCAGACAACTGTAATCGGTGCACCCCTAGTGATAAATGGTTGAGAAGGTTTGTAGGCGTAACTTTCATTTTGAGACAGTGGTTCCAAAAACGCAAGGTCGCACCCAACAGACAGACACTTTAGTTCAGATTGGAACAACAGAAGGTGTAGATGCATTGTCAGTGTCCACCTTTAATAACTGACATCGACGCTTAGCACAGATGAATTAGCGTAGTGACACTGATGATGTTGGGTTGAGAAAACAACCACAAACATTGTTATGCACAGCTTAAAGGTTTAATGTAGCGTTTTTTCACACCAGTGTGACCTTTTTGGAAGCGTTGTTGAGCCTAAAATAGGCCCTTGCTTGGCTAGCCGTTAGCCTAGCCTCAATGAAGACTTCCACTCTTTTCTCCATTCTCTACTCTGCCTGATGTTACAGCTGATAATGTACTAACTATTGATACCTATTTGACAGAACGTCACATGAAAAATAACCCGACTAGCCCTTTAAAAAAAGGCCAAATATTCCTGGCATGTGGTTGAATTAGCATATTTGTGTGTGTGGCATAAAACCAGTTCATCGCTTTCTTTTGTCTCTCCAGGCCAGCTATTTGTTTTCTGGTGTAATTGGGGCAAGAATGTAGGACTCGATCTAACTGGCAAAGCTACGGAGTGTTTTTTTTTTTTTTTTTTTTTCTTCTTTTTAATGGGGTGATCTGCATGTGTTTTAATAATTTTATTTGCTTGAGTTGGTTTTTAATCTTCTTTTGTTAAAGAAGCCACATTTTTAGGTCCTCATGCATTGAACAGGTTTTGTCCAAGAGTACCTGAAATGCCATCGGTGTAAATAATAATAAAAAAAAGGAATAAAAGAAAATAAGATTTTTACATATTTATGAGCACCAGAGAGTGGAAGAATCACCCTGGACAAACAGGAAGCAGATTTTAGTTTTTATTATCCACCGGAGTTTTCAAACTTCCAAGTTTTGGGTCATTGTGATGTTATACAAGTTAAAAAAAGTTTGCAGCTTTTTTCTTTTTTTACATTTGTTTTTTTTGTCAATAACCACTTCCATCTCATCCTAAATTTTAAAACAAGATATATATTGTTTTATGCTCAGCGTAGTTTGCAGTTTGATATAACTCAAATTTTAATACAAACTCCAATATAGAATATATTGGTTTTCAATTAGGGTTGTCCTCTGTAATATTTCTGTACTGTTATTATATAAAATCAGTATAATCAAAGTAGGCAGGTGGGCTTGCAGCTTAAGCACTGAAATTACATTGTAATACCACCCCCACTCCCCTACTCCGGTGCATAGATGTGGGTCAGAAAAACTTGGCCCATCACCATGGAGATGTTTTTATTGGGAGAAGGGTGGGACTGCGTTAGGGGGAGTTTTTAAGCGGGGGGTATGACGCTGTGGCATCATTGTCTTTAAGGCTGAGTAAGCTCCATGTGTGCAGGGGGTGGCTGGCTGGTAGCCGCCCAAGAAACTTGTAGACATGCGAGTTTAGGGGGGGGGGGGGGGGGGGGAGGCTACTTCTCCACTTGTGTAAAAACCAGTGTTTAATATATTTGTG